CGAATAAATATACTGGGACACTTATTTTTATATTTAAGAAACATTCAAATAAATTTTAAAGAATCAGATTAAAAATGAATAAAAAAGATAACAAAATTGTTCTCAAACAAAATATTAAATTACAAAACATTTTCTCCATTAAAACTTCCCTAAAATTTTTTAGAACTTATTACTGTTGCATACCATCTATCAATGTTATATAAATAGTGAGAGATGTCTGTGGAAAATATAATGGTTTCCAAATGTCCGTTAACGTTTGATTTTCATCAACATTTTTCAATTATGCTTTAATTTTTGAATGTTTCAAAATTAATGCAGATTTGGGCAACTTTAACGATTTAAGACAGATCTACGGCAGTTAATCTATTTTTAATCGAAGAACATCCAAGATTCTTGGAATTCTCACTTAGCCGTTATCAGAGGTCAGTTTCTCACGATCTTGATAGACAGTAGCAGAATTCTCACAGTGAATGCAGCTACACGAAACAAAACTCACCATTCCTGTAATCAATTGTAACAGTTAAATGTTTCGTAAATTGTTTCGTAATTGTTTTTGTTACATTTAATTTGTTAAATCAGCTTAATTTTTTGCTCCAGTAGCCCCAAATGAATTAAACATTTCTCTTAAACTTTATTTATCTCCGGTGTTTCCGAAAAAAAAAATTGTTTAGGGCTATTTAAATGGCCTATTTTCTATAGACTATACTTGTTTATGGAGAGCTAATGCACGTATATCTGTATATCTAATTTCTGTAAAAAATACTGTATTAGACAACATGTTGGTATTCTTACTATAGAATGGTACCTAAGACCAACCAATGTATTGGTGCATTTCCTATAAATGCGTCAATGTTTTAAACAAATATATTGATCCATTTACTGTAGAATATAATTTATTGCGCGGAGACATTTTATTGGTCAATCTGCTGTAAAAGATACGCATTGTTAATTATAGTATTTGCTTAAGATTTATAGAGGGAGATCAAGTGGGCATCTTACAATGTTTTTTTTCTTCTTAGAAGCTTTTCGATCACCATTAAATTCTTAACCCATGTAACAATATTTAAAAGCCATATTATACAATCACAGAGTAAAACTATTGAAAGCCATTTATATAAATTTGAACATAAACTTCATATAGTTGAAAAAAGTCTTGTTCAGAAGAAGATAAACAAGATAAATTCTTTACACTAATAAAATGTTTAAAATACAGAAGATTACAACTTATAAACACAAGTTTGGTTACATTTGGCGCCTCTTAATGCTTGAAATTTGTTTTGTTTCCCCGATTGCTTAAAGTAAAAAAAAAGAAAGATATTTTTAAAATAATATCTTTTATTTTATAGTTTCCTTTGAAAAAAATTCACATAACCAAGATATGCAACTCTGATATCATAAATTTAGATATGTATAGTTCTGCAATTTCTGTCTCGTTTTGTAAATTTAAATGTTTGTATAAAATATTTTTTTAAATAGCAACAATAACAATAATTTTATAATTTCTTCCGTATCTCTGATAAGGTACTCAGATTTATTAATTATTCTACGAAAATACAATTCCGATGCTTTAGATTTATTATTATATTATCTAATTTTATTTATATATTAATCTGTCAATATACAATTTCGATTAAATTGAAAAAATATTAAAAATTGCAAGCATGTTATATTTAGCTTTAAAAATAAGCAGCACTGTATCTAAATTTCTAATCCATTTATAACACCAACTTATAAAGTTCCTAAGTCAATTGATATAAAACCCAGCACTTCTAAAATAATCTTTTGGATATAAGTTCCTTTATTTACAAAATTATTCTTGCCACCTGGAACATATTTAAGCGCACATTTTTATTTAAAACTGTATTTACAACATCTTATGCTAATCTAAGCATAAAATCATTAAAATTGATTAAATTAAAATAAGGGAACACAAAATTTTTCACTTTAACAATAACAATTCATCACATTTCATAGAAATATATTAGAAAATGATATTACAGTTCATTGGTGACAGTGTGTTTAAAGAACACCATGATATGATAAGTAAAATGTATATTGAGCACAAAATGAGATATTCTCATCTAAGAGATAAAATTACGTCACTATATTTTAAATGTAAATTAATGTTTGAGAAATAAAATAACAAAAATACAACGCACATAAAAAAGTAGAGTTTCGATTTTGTATGCATTAAAATACACACAAAATTTTCTTTTTAAGGAGGTAGTGTAAAGAATGTGATTTTTTAAAAAAGAGATTAGTTTTTCATAATAATTATATAAAATATAACATAACACTCCTAATTTTGTTTTTTAAGTAACTTCCAAGTTCTAAAATCTAAGTGTTTTTCAGAAAAAAGAAATTGTTTGCATAAAAGTAAAACATGAAATATTTTACTAACGTTCTACTGTAAATTAATTTTTTGGAAGCTTACATATTTGCACAATGTGTGCAAACAAAATATTTTTACTTTTCTATTGCGTTCTAAAATCAATAATTCTCTTGAATTTAGATTGTTCTTAATAAAATGTGCGTTAACAAAGTATTGTTATAAAAATCAGCAGTTTTGGATATTTATTTTTTAAATAGAGTATTTTTACTTAAAAAGTGAAACATAAGATGAAATTTTTCAAAACCTGACATTTTTATTTAAAAATAGTGCATAATAAAATGTGCGTAAACAAAGTAAATTTTCAATTTTTATGTACTAAAAAATAAATATTTTTGGTAATGTTACCAAATACAAATATCTTTACCTAATGGGGAAAGCATCTAATGCAAAATGCGTTAAAATATAAACTGCGGACAAAAAATAAAACTTATTAAAATGTGCGTAGACAAAGAAGGGTTCCAATTTTTAAATTGCAACGGATTAAATATTTTAAGTAATTATTTAGGGTGCATTATATTTTACAAAATATTGTTTCAATAATTCAATTTAATAAAACGTATTATAATATGCGTAGACAAATTCCAATGTTTTTGTTCCTAAAGATTAAATATTTCAGGTAATGTTACCAAATAGAGTATCATTACCAAATGGGTAAAACATATGGTTCAAAATATGCACACGGCACAAATGAAAAAGAGAACCACTCCGAATAACTTTTGATCTCATGATCGGATCTTCACGCTCCAAGATTCAATCTTATTGGTTTGAAGGAGTGATCTCAAATATGCTAACTAGTAAGTGCAGACAATATTTTAATTTTCGGAATCAGACACAAAAACATACTTTCTCTCAATAAACATACCCTTTTTCGACGGATTCATATTCCTGACATGCAGAATATTGAAGGTAGATGCAATCTGAAAAATATGGTCCAAATAGTTTGATCAAGCGAGCTGTCCAAAGTTTGTCCCCTTAATGTTATTTTTTGCGTATTTCGTTATATCTTGATAACTTTGTAATAAAATTGAAAAATTTTTGCGTAAAATTATAAAATTCATTTATCTAAAAATAATTCCATGCAAAAAATAAACTTTATGAATTACTTCTTATTTTTTATCATCTAATTTAATAATAGTCAAAAAATTTCGAATTGTAAGGTATACAAATTTTTGCATCATTTTAAGGAACATAATTTTACAAGGCAAAATACAAAATTTGAGCAAAATCGGTCAAATAGTGCTGAGAATTTGAATTTAAAAAAAGTCAGCTATTTAAGGTGCCAGATATTTGACTAAACAAATTTCATATTTGTGTGCAATTTTTTTTAATCGCTTAAGAAGTTTAAGATATAACGAAATACGCAAAACGTAAAATTAACATTAAGGGATCCAAACTTTGGAGCACTCTCATGACCAAGCTATTGGGACCATATTTCCTGATTGCTGCTCTTCCCGATATTTTTGGGTCAGAAATCTGAATTTGTCAAAAAAAGAGATGTTTATTCAGAGGAAGTACGTTTTTGTGTCTGATTGTATGCTGTCATTAATTAGTATATTTTAGGTCATCCACTTGAGCCATTAAGATTGAATCCTAGAACGTAAAGATCCGATCATTAGATCAAAAGTTACTCTGGTGGTTCGTTTATTTTTGCCCACTGTGCAGTATAAATTGTTACTGAAAAATAAAACGTAATGAAATGTACGTAAGCAATGTAGAGCGTCAGTTTCTTAAGTTCTTGAAAAGAATTAGTAAGATATAATTAGATTTAAGGCATTCAATGTACAGAAAATAAGTTTTGAGATAAAATGAAGGTAACTGATGATATATTATGCATAGATATGTACAAAAATAAATAAAGTAAATTGAATAAATTGTATTAGTTTATGTATTATCTTTGATCCTCAATCGAAATGAAATATATTTTCTTATTGTAAATTTGTTGTGCTATAAATACATTTTATTGCGCAAACAGTAAGTTTTTTTCAAAAACATATTACACAATATTCTAAGCAAAAAACAGCATTTTAATAACGAATTAAATGTTTTTACAGTTTTATTGTGTTGAAAAGAAACAATTGTGTAAAACTCTTTGAATAGTTTTTGATGTTAAAAAAAAACAAGTAAAAAAAAGTTTCGCTATATTTTTATATAAATATTTAAGTTAGCATATAGTACGCCTAAAATTTCAACAACAAGTGAAATCTTTCAGAAATTCAAGGCAAATAATACATAGTTACAGCTGAATATTAATAAAATTGATTGCAATTATAGCAAAAAACTTTCATCACATCACCTTTCAATTCACCAGTAGTAAATGCAATTTTTATTAAAACAAGTATATTTTAAAATAAATACAAATATTTTACATTATAATAATTTGCAAATAAAAATATATAATCGAAACTCTACTCTTGAAAAAAAGAAGAATCTGGCTAAATTTAATAAAAAAGTTAAAATAGACTCACTTGAATGAAGTGATAGTAATATCAAAAAATATTTTAATACATTATGAACTAAAACTGTTACATCAGTTTAAATAATTCCAGGAGAGAACACAATCTCTCTAATCATTCATCTTTTATATCGAGATTTTTTTTTAACACTCGAAACTGATCCAACGTAAACTTTACAAACGGTAACAGTCTATGTTGAAGCTTGGCATATCTTTCCTGCTATAGGAATATGTCGCTGTTCTAAGCTGTTGTGGATCAGCCTGAATCATTGAATATCCAGAACTGGTCTCCTGTCAGCTACTAGTACGGGGTGAATCGGTTGTAACCACTTCGGTACACGGCAGCCTAATTACAAAACAGAATAGTACCCGCTTAATGTCAAAGGAAAATCCTCTTGAGTAAAATACATTTTTTTTTGTACAGGACATCCCGGTGTTTTATGTTTCAATTAGGGAGAAGCCAATATTAAAAATCGGAATCATTTATCTTATTAAGAAACATCGGCATGTAACGAAAACAATACCAAAATCGTTGTACCCTTAACTTCATTATGTAATCAGATCGTGTAATTTGGTATCATGTAATAATCAAGATATCATGTTACTTGTCATATTAGGTGCTTTATTTCACAAAAAGTGGGCAAAGTGATCAAAATATATATATATAAAAAAAAACTGAATTACTCTTGATTTAATAATCAGTTTTTATGCATTAATGTGATATCTTCATGTTACGGGAGACATGGTTTGAATAAATACACGGAGAAAAAAAACTGTGGTAAAAATACTGTACTTGCATGGTAATGACATTTCTATTTATGAAAAGACTACTTTTGATTTAATATTTTTGAATTAAACAGTGTGCTGAGTTTCCCTTATCTTTGAGGAATAATCCTGAAATGATCATTTTTTAAGCTGAATAGTGAAGAAAATCTCTGTTGTTTCGTTAAATTTAACATATTTTGCTGTGTAAAATAGTTAGAAATGTACATGAAAAAAATATCTACGGAGAAAGTGATGTAGGTTAGTTTTTTTTAGTAAAGTTTTGTCGGGAAACAATAACAATAGAAATTTTTTTGTTCAGTTTTGTTACATATATATGATGAACATTACTTGGAATATTTTCTGTGTAATTAGTAAGTTTAAATAGCTACTAAATATAATTCACAGTGATGTTTTAATTAAGTTACTTTACAACATTGCAGGGTTAAACAGTCGATTAAAAATATTCAAGTAAATTAAGCTGACGAAGAAAAACCAAAACATCTGCAATCCAAGACTTCTTGACTAGTCAAAGTTTAAAAATTTGGTTCATGTATAAAATATATCACAAGTTACAATTCTTTTGTACGAGAACCTAAAATTGTGCTATTTTAATGCTTTACTATGGATCGTAATTGTTGGATTAAAATTATTTCATTAGCTCAGTGGCAGTCAATTTGATTCCTACCACATACTGGTGAGTAATAGAAGTTTTCATAGTGGATGGTATTGAATTTTCCGCTTTAGGCCTATAAGTGCTGCATTAAATTAAATTCTATGTATTTTCTAAGCGCAATCAGAGAGTAAATAAAAATAATAAAATTGCTTACTTTTATCAAACCTGTAGTAAAACAAATACTTTGCTGTTGCACTAAATTAACTTTAATCGGAACCGGTGGGTGGTTAAATTTTTTTTCATGTTATAAAGAAACAGAAGTCTGTGGTATATCAAAAATTTACTGTCTCAGCAATTGGTAGTTTTTCTCAAGTATGACGTATACAGCACGGTGATCAAAAATTTCAAAACTGATATTTTAAATGTGTTTTTTATAAATAACTACACAGTGAAAAAAAATCTGGTGAATTTTATTTCTGTTTAGTGAAGACATTTCCGGTAATAAAAACGTAATTTTGGTTAATAAAACCAAAAGACACGGTATTTAAACCATTCATTTGCTGTTTTTTTTGTTCATATGGTAAAAGTTTAGCGAGAGTTTTGTTTTTCAAAATTATGGCCCTTATTATATCACAATAAGTAAAGAATACATAACTGAAAAGTAAATTTAACCAATTAATAATTTTAATGCCATCCTCTTAGGTATCATGATGAAATTATAAAATTTTACCGCATTCACCAAATTTTATCACAAATCATATTGTTGCCACATGTTAATTTCAGCAAAATCATTACCAAAGCGCTTCGGTAAAAAGTACGTGCTTTGTGATGTTCTAGTAGAGCCAGAAACGCGGTAAATTTTACCATATTCTGGTAATTTTGTCCATACTTTTTTCCCAGTGTATGTGTCGCGACAAAATAAATTTTTTTTTGCTACCACTAAAGATTAATAAGCTTGATTGGCCAATGTTTAACCTTCAATTTTTTGAAATGCTATAATACATCATCATAGTCATTAATAAATTAATCATTGCTTATAAATAGGAAAAAGTAACTTTATTTTATCAACTTTTAGTAAATTGAAATTGATATGAAAGGTTTTGATTGTAAGTTGAAAACTTTTATAAATATTAACATTACAGCATGCCTAAATAACCATTTCTATTTTTTTATTTTTTAATCAACAATTTATTTTTTTCAAACCTGATTATATTCATGATATGAATATACTGTACTCTTCTTTAAAGATTTTTGAAAGCGAGATCAGGAAAATTAATGTGCTGTCAAAATGCAATTAATACACTACATTAACGAATCACAAACCTATTACTATTCATATGCAGTGAGATGATAATGCTAATAAATGCAATATTCAAATTCAGCAAGTCATAAAACAGGCACATTGTTTGGGCAATGTGGATGTTTTACAAACCAATTTATCTTCTACACCAACAAACACTATAGACATGCAGGTTTCAAAATACCAGTTCTGAATTGATGAAATCAGAATCAGCAATTATCTATTAATTAGATATTATTTCAAATTTGGAGGTTTATAATTTATGTTAATGCCAAGAATAATTTATGCAAATATTAAGACAAATTTATGTATACACAGTATCTAATTATTTAGTAGGAACTATTTAATTTAAGGATGTAAATGAAATATTTCTTCAGTTATTTTAAAAAAAAGAGAAATATGTGTTTTTAATTCTTGTTTTGAACTCATTAATTAAGTTTTATTAATTTTAAAAGTAATGTAAAATTAATTAGTATAATTTCAAGTGCGCAAATTTATTAAATTGTTGTTTATTGTATGGTTCAAGTTCAGAATAAGCAAATTCAATACACACCTTTAGGAATTAATCAGTCACAGAAATTTTTAATGATTTCCAATTACACTCATCTGCAAATGCAGCTTTGAAATATCTTAAGACATCTGTTATAATTAATTTCATTAGATGTGCTTTTAGATGTGTAAATATTACTTAAATTCTTAGAAAAAAAATTAACATTTTATTCACCTGATTCTGAGAACTACAATTCGCCCTTTTTTCTAGAAATATATTACTAAAATTTCATTTCGGTACTTTAATTAGTTTCAAAGAAGAAAGAAAATGTTTTAAAGCTGTTTTTGGAGAATGGAATTTACTTTCGTTACCCTAAAAGAAGTTGAAGGCAAAATCCTGTTTCAAATGTTTTGGTTGAAATTTTGAGGTGTTTAATCTTTAATAATTTCGAAACGAAAGTTATTGTAGAAATATACATGAAAAATTCCAAATACGTTTATTATTTTTTCTTATTTGGATGTATTAATTCTGATATCATCAATTAATAAGCACAATGTAAGTACAGAGTTTCAATTTTCCTTGTGTGCTATAAGAAATTAAGCACTACGTGAACGAAACATGCCACCAAAGCATGCAATTAATTTCTTAAACATATATTTAATTTGAAACTTTAAAAACAATCATTATACAGAGCAGAATTATGTCATAAAATTGCATATAACTACATAAAATTGCAAATAATTATACAACATGCATAACTTTAAAAAGAGTACATGGATTGTTCTAAGAGACTTTGATTTCTTTTCAAGACACATAATTTTTATCGGCCTATTAAAAATGCTGAAAAATTTGATGTAATTAAAATTATTATTCGTTTTGTTATGCATTGCATACAGCCTTAAATATTTATCTTTTATCGCGTTTGTGAAAATTTTTTAAGCTTGAAAGATGGTTTAAATATTATTCAAAGAAGCTAAATGAATAAATAAATAAGAATGTAAGTTGCAGATTTGTTCGTATTTATTTTTATTATATACTTTTTATGTAAGTTAATATTTTCCTTTTTAGTAGCTAATTGTAATAAAATGTTTCAAATGTTATTAATTCATTCCTATTGGATTTAATTATAATTAGAAAAATAGTTTTCTGATTTATTTAGGAGAAAATAATGTTTTACTGAAACTAAATTTATGAATTATGTTCTCTTTTAAAATTCACGAAAAAGAACAAGATATTTAGGAGTAGTTCGCATTATAACAATTCATCTGTCATATATGCTAATGTCTGATAACAATTCATCTTTATCAAAGCAAAAGTGAAACTATTTCAGGCTATACCTTTAATAGTTGAGTATAACATTTAATTACTCAAATCATGAAGCAAAACTTCTAAGATAAGATATTAAGATAAGACAAATTATATATTTTGCAGATGTATGGTGGTTTCAATATGGTGGTTGTGTAAAGTTCTCAAAGAAGAGATGGTGTTGAATATTGGAGTAAAAGCAATGGTAGACAATATAAGGGAATTTTTTAAATTTGGTTGATTATCTCTACAACTACACGACAGGGTTTGTGAAGGAAATTTGGTCTGAATATTAGCTCATATAGTGCTATAGATATTTCATAGTTATAATATGCAATGATGTTCGTGAATAACATTAAACTGAATTTAAAATGGGAGAAGTGATGCAGAATAAAAAAAGGCTTATATGGAGTGTCTATTTTGCAGATATATAGACATCTCACTGTTATTGTTTAAATTAAAGCTCAGCGTAAGCAAAAACTACCAGAAGTTCTGGAGATAATTGATGAAATTTTGAAATATCGTAAATTTGAACAATTTGCACTTATTTATTTGATAAGTGTAGATATATAGGTACAGTTGTAGAAAAATGGATTCTTTCGACTAAAATAAATCTAATCTCTTTTAAAATGATAAGAAATATTTTCAATTGCATCGCTATGAGGCAATATTTGGTGACGTTTAATCTGATGTTCAATATTAGAGATGTTCAATCGAAGAAAATTCTAGCCGCGTCTGTTGTGGAGCTAATATAGGTTATAGTGTCAAAGAAAATTACGTGTGTCACACTTTACACACTGTGTCACCTTTAACAAGGTAAAAAATCGTAGCATTTTAAGTTGGGAAGCATAGACCATAATCTGTTTACTGGTTATGTAAATGAAGTGAATTACAATTGATGCATCAAAATTAGTTTATACATGATAAACACGATATTTTTGTAAAGCTCGTTTGATCTCAAATTCAAAAGAAATGAAAATAAATGCTTGTGAATACAAACGCGGAAAAAAGCTCTTGTTTTAAAACTAATGCTGAGGCGAAATGGAGTTGTGGGAACTGTTGATTTGAAGTGCGGGGGCAAGTTCTTGTCGAATCCTCTGCAACTGGTCATTTCCTTGGAGATAGAGTTCACTGTGGGTACTGACTGTTCTTTACTTTTTAAACTACCGAAAAACACGTTATTCTTTTCCTGTCGTACTTTATATTTAATAAATACTTGTGTTCCGTCTTCTATATTTCAGTTTATATATTTCAGTATAATAGCAGAGTTCAGCCTTAATTAATACTCTCTAACCTCCTTTGAAATTTCAATAGAAAACAGTTATAAATTGTCATCATTGCCTCTTATATACACCATATGATTTTTATTTATGGGTGGAATAAATATTTTTTTTCTCTTCCCATAGAATATGTAGATAAATGAAGTACAGACTTGTGTTCTGTTTTCCAAAAAAACTAATAGCTTATTTTGCGTAAAATGAATTTTTTAAAAGAAAATAATAATATAATTCCAAATTATTTTTCTCCTTTTTTTTTAAATCTTTTGGTAGTAAGTAGTATTTAAAAGTTTCGATGGAAATATGTTGAGGATAACGTTTTAATTGAAGCTCTATATAATAATTTGTTTAACTTGTTATCACCTGAATCAGTAACCAACTACTCCAAAAATATCTTTACTCTTTATATAAATATTTCATTGCTAAACAATGACAAACCAGAAGGTATAAAAGGGAAATAAAATTTCAAAACTAGGAAAAAATATATAAAAATGTCAAAGAACATAGTGCTTTAAAATTTTTTACAATTTACAAGTAACTTGGAGTTTCTTTTTTTAAAAGAAACAGTCATTATTTTTTAAGCCGTCTTCATTATAGATGATGAAAAAATAATTCTAACTTTGAGATTGTCAATGTTTCGCAATAAACATTTTATACTACTTATTTTGTGATTATTAATCTTTTTAATGATTTAAAATCACGTTTTTTACTGTTTAATTTTCCTTAAGTACATTTTTTATTTCAGATTAATTTGGAACAAGATTAAATTTTTGTTTTGCTTCATAACCTGAAACATGCTTCGACTTTTTAACTCAAAAGGTAAATCTTATTTCTTCACTCCTTTTAGGGCTTTTATTTATTTGATCGAAATGTTGAATAGTCATTTTGCTAATTGTTTTTATATTTTGAATACTAATTGATTGATCTGACCCTTACATCAAAATATATTTTTTGTTAAACAATATGTAAACATATGTTTTATATATTTTGTTATACTGTACACTTACCCCGTATCCAGCGACTGGGCCTATGCTATGGCCTAGGTATGGGTCAGCATATTCCCTCCCATAGCTGTAATACAATGATGGAGATCTAGGAATAAGAAACAATGAAGAACAGTTTTTAAAGGCAAGGGCCATGCTCTGCTTTTATTTGCACACCTGCCTTATTTTTAAATATATTACATTTTTTAAACCAATGAACTCTTTTAATTCAATAAATAATGAGTTTACATGTTGTGTTTAAGGAAATAGTTGATCCCCTTTTTATCTTTTAAATTTACTTGGAAACCAGCGTATACCTTGTGCACCTTTGTATGAGGACTGTACTGTAAAATCCATTTTTATCGGAAGACGCTGCGGAACAAAATATCTGATATACCGTAATTTTTACAGTTAATAAATACGGAAAATCTCAGAACCATTGTAATTAAATATATATTATTGTTCTCGACGGTAAAAATAGATTTTATGAATGATGCACCCAAAGTGCCTGTACTTTATAGTAAAATTTGATCCGGGACTTTTAGCAATGACGAAAGTGATTTGGAAAAAGAAATTGAAAAATAAGAAAATTTGAGAAGAATTAAAAAGCCAACTATGAGTTTTATCATTTCATTTAGTAAATTAATGTCTAGGGCTTATTTAGTGGAAAGAATTGTATAAAAAGGAAGTAACACAAGGATTATGATTCTAAGGATTTGATTGTGGTAACCAATGTAATTTGTCGATTAAACTTATTTGTAACTTCTTCAGTGCTTAACGTTTGAACAATTACTCTCACTAGTCAATTATTTACTGCTATTGTGTCATAAACAATCTTTTTAAAGTTCATTCATGCACTAAATTTATTTAGTAAACTTTCCAGTGATTCAAAAATAAATTGCGATAATCCCTTTCCATATTGAAAAAAAAGTTAAAAAAAATTACTTTTGGATCCAAATAAATTTAAAGGAGAGTGGCAGTGGAAGAAAAATTAAATTTTATCATTGTGTTTTTTAATAAAAAATGTAATTAAATTTTTTAAAATTAAAATCCCCTATATTTTCAACAAACTTTCCCAATTGAAATCCTTGAGTTATTTATAGATTTAACTATATATTTAATTATAGATTTTTTATATTAAACATAACTGTACTTTGAATGTATTCCAGTCGTAGTTAAAGGTTTGTTTCGTTAAGTAGAGGAACAAATACTGGAAAACATGCTTGAGAAAACTTTTAAGCTGACCTAATCTTAAGTAATAAAAGTTATGCCTTGGTCTAAATTTTATTTACTGTTTCGAATGACTAATGGACAAGCTATTGGTCTTTTTCAAATTAATTCAAGAAGGTGGGGCTTTCGTTTGACAAGGGAACAACCTCAAGGGTGAAAGTATATAGTAGTTCAGATCCCCACGATTAGTTGGCAGCAACACTTATCCGTGTATCCATTTCCTCAATTTAATCATAGATTTGAAGAAGAAGGAAATTTTCCCCAGACCCCTGTACCGCTAAGCGACTAACCGCAAGACTTTTCATTCCACAGATTTCACTAGCACGTATATCGCATGTACTCGGTGGGTAATGGCGGAGTCGAGGATCGAACCCCGGCTCCTCTGGACCGGAGTTCGATTTTCTAACTACTGACTTACCATGGCTGCTCTAATTTAAGTTTCATGTTCAACGTGTTATTTTACCCCTAAAAGTGTTCATGTTTAATTTACTTACAAGTATATAATTTGATTAAAGTTGTGACGAAGTGACAAATAAAAATTTCATTACTGCATTCGTCATTGAATTTTCAATGCGTCAAACGACTTAATAACTTTTGACACTTGTCACAGTAAGTGAAGTGAAACGATTCATGGATATAGTAGCATATTTAATTTATTAATATGCGGTTGAAATATTTCATTCTGAGTGCTCTGTTTAAAGTTTTATGTTGCAAAATTACTTGGAGATAAAAAGAAAATTTACGAGTAAAAAGGCATTGTTTATAGGTTTAATTTCAAAGGATTAGGGGGATTACTTTAATAGAAACTCCTGATGGATTTTCCTACATTTTTATTTCAATAGAGTAATGGCAATCTATTTTCGCATTATTGTTCCACATTTTGTGAACCTTAAGATCAACCAACTAATGTCATCATTTATTATGATTCGATACATTTAATATATAAATTCTATAAAAAAGATATGTATAATAATAAATATGAATATTTCTAAAAAAAGTATTGCGTTGATTTCATTTTATTTGCAATTAAAACGTATACTTTTACGGCAGGTGTGCATAAATCTGCAGCCTTGCTATATAAAATCATTACAAATAAAATGTCAAGTCCATATAAGAGTACAGTTTATACCAGCGCAAAACAGATTACATAAAATTGATAATGAAGTTTCACATAGTGATACACAATCAAATACATTATAAAAAAATTGAGATCTATTTCGCTAAAACTACACTAAACAGCTTTTTTCTAGCATTCGTCTGGTGTGCAAAATTTATTTGTTTCGAAATGCTCGTAAACAAAAGGTGAATTTCATGCACAAAAATGTCACATAAGCATTCCATCTATGCATTTCTTACATTACAAAAAGGAAAATGTCTATTCTAAAATGCATAACAGAAAAGAGGGAAGAAAGCAAAAATGCAGTTTTTTCTAAAAAATAATATATATATATATGAAAAAAAGAGTGCATTTCAAAATGTGCTAAAGTAGAAATTTTCCTTTCTAAAAGAAGTAGAAGTTTTTCCTTAAACTCAAGCAAGCAACAGAAGCACATAGAAAATGATTTAAAAGGTTCAAACGAAAAGAAAAAAATAAACTAAATTTTTGGAGAGAAATGGTTCTTACCCTGCGACAGCGGCGTATGATGCTACTGGTTGAGCTGCCGCAGCTGCTGCTGCGTAACTTCGAGCTGCTGCTGCTGTGTAAGCTGCACTTGCTGCATATGATGCCTACGGTAATAAAAAAGTACATAAGCGAACACGTAGTAGATTATTTTTAAAATCGAAATTACAGTATATTATTTTGACAATATTCAAACATTTCATAAAATACAACTTAAAAGGAAAATGCAAAAATCAACATGGTATTTATTTTCACTGCAGAGTAATGAAAAAAAAAACTTAAGTGTATTAAATAGTCTTTATTTGAAAGAAATTAAAGCTATATGTTTCATCAAAAAATATTTAATACGTAATATTTGAAAATAATTATAATACACTACAAATACTCTTTATATTTAAGAAATATGAAAAATGTAAATAAAGGGAAAACAATAAGCTTGAAATTTTTTTTAAATGAGCTAACAAGCGAAATTGCACTAATTAAAATTACACTGTTTTTTTTCAATCTAATCACTAACAAAATCTTATATCTTTTGCCAAATGTCTAGAATTTAAAGAATAGAGTTGGCAACGATTTGTCAGACGATATTAATGGCAGATCTATCTGCCATTACGATCACAGACGGCACGTAAGGTAATCGGATACTTTGGAGAAGTTCTTGCAGCTTAAGAAAGAGGTCATAGCTACTAGAACCCATGTCAGGTGAATACGAAGGGTGCAATAACATTCCTACCATCGCAAGGAAGTCACAGCTTTAGGAATGTCGTGCAACATGAGCATTGTCGAGCAACTCGATAAAAAGATAGTTGTTCTTTGAGCGGATAAACCCTGGTCAGTTAATTGACGGTTAAAGTAAGGTTGAACTCCGACCCACCCCAGGGGGGTATACGGAGATAAAAGTAAAATTATTACAATAAAATTTCTCTAAAAACTAAAGTTACAGTAAAATTTCGCCAAATGACAGTGGTGATGATCAGTTAAAAGTGGATTAACAATGAAGTTTGACAATTAAAAACATGTGTTAAAGGCAATGAAACCCAATAGCGCCGGTGTAAATGTCGAGAATTAAATGATTATAATAATAAGGAAACAAGAGATTAAAAAAAATTCTCAAAACTAAAATCAATGAAAGCTAAAAGTCCAAATAGTAAATGTCTAAAAGTAAAAGTCTGACTAGAAGTCTATGAAGTCTAAAATCAAAAGTAGATAAAAATTCAAAATGTAAGGCTAAAAGTTGATTAGTAAAAATTAACGATGACATGCTCTATTGTTGGTTCATGACTGGGGCCAGTTGATCTGGGGCTAGAATGTCCTCGAGGGTTTGTTTAATAATTTGAGTCACAATTTTCCTGCAGGTCAATATAGCGAAGAATTGATGTTCCTCTTCGCAATTATTCATGTGGGTTCCACGAAGTGCNCGCATACTTGGTCAGAATTCATGCAATCCTTGATAACATTGCGATGCATTTTTGCTTTGTATCGAACTGTTATCAAAGTTTCCGGGATTTGAATTCACGACCACTGATTACTTTCTTGAAAGCTTTAATCCTTTGATGCAGAATTTTTATTAAGCATATATTTCCTACTTTTTTCACTATTTTTAATTAATTTATGTCAAAATAAGTAAAAAATATTATATTTAGCATTTTAATATTTTATGGTTATGAAATACAGCATGAAACATCAGTGTTTTTTTTCTGAGTTAAAGGTATAATCTTCCAAATAGGGCTCACTTCCAAACAATAATTTTTCAAATTTGCACTTAGAAAAAGTTATTAATCAAATGATTAATTTTGAATATCAATAAAAAAATTCAAACTAATTTTTTTTGGATTCTATATTTTAGTACAAATATAATTCTGATAATCTAAGAGATTTTTTTAGTAACTATTAAACTGTTTTTTATAAGTAAAACATATCAAACTATATTTTTACTTGTAATTAGAGCTTCAGAAAAAAAAACGAAAAAAAGGAATTTTNTGAATATCAATAAAAAAATTCAAACTAATTTTTTTTGGATTCTATATTTTAGTACAAATATAATTCTGATAATCTAAGAGATTTTTTTAGTAACTATTAAACTGTTTTTTATAAGTAAAACATACCAAATTATATTTTTACTTGTAATTAGAGCTTCAGAAAAAAAAACGAAAAAAAGGGGCACCGGTGTCACATCTGCGCCAAAGGGTTAAAGTAGTTAAAGAGTTATGTCACTAATAAATAGAAAATTTATTTAAAATCACACTAAATAATTTATATAAAGGAATTTTTTTTTAAAATTAGGAATTTATATTTGATGAACAGGAATTTTTAAAAAGAAACTCTGTTAAATATTATCAACACTTGTTCAAACTTATGTAAATTAATTTATCTTAAACAGATGTGCATTTAGCTAAATGAACTTTCCTTAATGTACCTCTTTGTTAGTTTCTTTCCTAACCTTGTTTCCTAGTCGGTGTGGTGTGTAAGATTATCGCCTCTACGGCTATTGCTGAGTTCGATTCCCATTGTTAAAAGCTGGGTTCGGATCGTTTCACACTTTTTCCGATTGCGTATTAGAGGTTTGGCTTCTTTTATTTATTATTTTTATTTTATTTTCATTTATTATTTTAAAGTAATTTCTCAGCAGAAAAAAATTCATGTCAAAATAAAGAAAGTAATACATAGCTTATTAAACTTTATTTCTGTAAAATTACTTCAGTGGACATTTTCCTATTTTTTTTACAAGAATCTTTCCATTTTTAATTCTCTGTAATTTTACGTGAAACTCGTGATTAATGATTTCCACAATATTTTCACAGAACAGTTTTTCAGAGAGCTCTCACCGTTTGGCGGTATATACCTCTTAATAAACTGTTATAGGATTAAGCATTCGAAAATTATTTTTTTATAAAAATTTAACTAATTATATTTCAAAACAAAGGTAATAATCATGTTTGTCTAATAGTTTATTAGATAAACATAATAAATTAACTTATTTCATGCAACTTATATAATTTAACTTATTTAATCAATATTTAATGTATCATGGTATAAATTCACACTAAAATACTACAATTATACTAAAATAAAATTAAAAGAGAAATCTCTTATATTTAATAATTGAAAAATATTGAAAAAGGAAATTATTATTATCGTAATTTTTCATACTTTCTTTTATTTGTTTAAGTTTTAATTCATTCTTTCAGTTTAGAAAAGTATACAGTTTCGTAGAAATGTTTGAATAATTAATCATATTTTTTTAATATCTGGAAGTAAAGTTTTAAAAAGTTTAAAGCACAAACATTTTCTGTATCCGGGATAATGATTCCGATATCCTTTTGTAGAATCTTGCTTACCGGAAGTTGATATCTCTCAGCTCCTGCATAAGCCAAAAATGGATCTTGGTAAACTCCCCGATGCAACATCAGCCTGTAATGTAGAGCGAAACAAAAGAGAATATTTTAATAACTGATAAAACTAACGAAGCTTTTACACTCTTAACACTCTGTTTTTGCTATATTCTGTTTCTTCTTAAACGTGAGAAGTTTCAGTTTATTTTTGGTAACTATTGCTTATCCAATTTTCAAAAGTTAGTTTTATCAATTAGGTGTTCGCAGATATTATGCAGAACTACTTTGATATTTTACACTGAGAAAAAAGCATGGTCAAAACTACAAAAAAATGGCAAAATTTACCTTATTTCTGGATTTTATGGAAACATCAAATAGCTCGGTATTCTACCAAAGAGCTGTGGCAAATTTTGGTAAACAATAAAACATGGTTTTAAAATGCGTGGTAAACTTTTGTAATTTTGTAATGATTAGAGTGTGGCAAAAAACCAATTATTCGATAAAATATACTTTTCAGCTTTGTATTTTTTCTAAATGTGCGGTAATATGAACTACAGTTTTGAAAACCAAAATTTTTGTAAATAGTTACCATATGAACGGAAATACTATAAATTGAATGGTTTAAAAACCGTAACGTATATTCTAGTTTTATTAACCAGAATAATATTTTTATCGAAAAATGTCATTACCGTACTACTGGATATTTTTATCCGAGAGTGAATGATTGTTTAACATGACCAGAATTTGAAATAGAGAAACTTATTAAGTATGCGATTGCTCTGTCTATTAGAGCAAATAGTTGTAAAATCTGATAAAGAAGGAAAAGGAAACGTGCGAAATACCTTTTATGACGTGGTGGCATGATTATGATGACGCAAGAAGATGGAAGCAATCTTGTCGATTATTAGGGATTTTATTTATTCAATACATAAAATAATCAAGTTTGAAATTACAAATATTTTTGGTAAAATTAACAATAAAATATGGCTTTATAATGCGTGGTAAAATTTTGTAAATGTTGTACCTCAGAACGTGATACATTAAAACATGGCATAAAAAACCTTTATTCGGCTAGATTTACTTTTTAGTTTTATGTTTATTATTAAATGTGTGGTAATAAGAACTATAATTTTGAAAGAATATCCCGTAAACTGTTACCGAATACCCGATATTTTGTTTTCATTACGATAATTATGTTTTTGTACTAGAGCATTATCATGCAAGTAGGCTAATTTTACAATAATTGTTTTTTCAGTGTTGATTATTATACTTGTGTATTCGAAATTTTAAGAATTATCCGCAATTTCATTCCTGTATTTTAGAGATTGATATATTCATATCCCGAAGCTATTGAATACAAATTAATAAAGCATTAAACATATTACTCTGGGTGTGTTAAAATTAATAGAATTCTGTGCTCTCTTTTGAAATTAATAAATGACAAATTTAAGCGAAAGTTTTAAAAATATTTAATTTATAAAATATTAGAAATTAAATAAACATACCTTGTACGAACATTAAAGACATATATTATTACTGAAGCTCAAACAAGTTTTGTTTATTTACAGTATACAATAGCATTATTTATGAAATGTAAGTAATCATGAAATTAGTCATGAGAAGATTAGTTATTTCCCATTTCACTTCATTATTTTTTTGAAACTTACATTGTAAATTTTTACTACCTTAATTCTGTTTGAAAATACTGCAAGCACTAGAATAATTCATTGGCCTTTTTTTAAATTATCATTATTATTCTTTTTTTTTAATTTTCTGCTATTGTGGTTTCAGTTTTTCTCGAAATTAATGATTCTTAAAACTCAACTGGTTTTTATTTTATAAACCAGTTATATTTTCTGGGCTGCTTTTATTTTCTGAGCTTGCTTAATTTTTATAACGCAATAAATTTGGAAAAAATTAGCACATGAAATTAGGATATTAGGAATATGCGAAATTCAAAAATTTGGTTTATACCTTAATGCTCTTTTATTCAAAATTAACTTTTTTCCCTTATTGAAAACTATAATTCTTTGATCTATTCTTAATCTTATCTTGATTTATTATTACTCTATGATTCTTTGCGGTGATTTGTTTTGATAGATAAAAAATTTTTTTTAACAAAAAATTTCTTTTCTCCTATGAATTTTCTTCAAGTTTTCGCGAGTAATCATACAAATAGTAGTTTTTTATAGATTTTCAAATTTGCTTCTTTATTTTTTTACCTTCTAAAACTTCTTTTTTTAGTGAGTTTGACAATTCCTTCGTGATTTTTTAAAATATTTTTCCAAATTTTTGCATGCTGATTAAAAAAGGAATAAAATTACTAGAAACATTATACTTTAAAAAATCATCTTTAAAAAAATTATTTGAGTTGGCTTTTATTTGTTTACAAAAATGAAAGTTAATCCGTAAAAGAAGCAAGCTTTAATCTTTATTAATTTTTATTTTGTAATGGATGAAAAGAACTGTATGAGGACAGTTTTCCATCAGCTTAACCATCTTATGAAAACCAAAAGAAAAAGATAAACTCACTCATTAAAAAACTTGACTTTAAATAACCATGGGTATAATTTCTTTAAAAAAATCGCCGACAATATTTACCATAATTCAAGCACTTCATTCAGAGCTTAATTATTTTTATTTTGTCCTTTCTTGAAAGTAAATGAAACTGATTTTGTAAAAAAAAAAAAAAAAAAAAAAAAAAAAAAAAAAAAAAAAAAAAAAAAAANAAAAAAAAAAAAAAAACCTATTTAATATCATATTATATATAAGTTGAAACTTATAATAAAAAGAAAATCATAAAAATTGAATATGAAACTGATAATAAAAATATGATTTTGAACTGATAATAAAATAAAATAAATAAAAATATAGTTTGAAACTAAGAATGAAAATAAAAATAATAAAAAAAATAATTTCAAACAGATAATAAAAATATAATTCTTAAAAATATAATTTGGAACAGATACTGTAACTGATCTGATAATAAAAATGTGATTTTGAACTGATAATAAAATAAAATTAATAAAAATATAGTTTGAAACTAAGAATAAAAATAAAATTAATAAAAAAAATAATTTGAAACAGATAATAAAAAATAATTCTTAAAAATATAATTTGAAACAGATAATAAAAACGTAATTAATTAAAATATGATTTGAAACTGATAATAAAAATATAATTGAGAAAAAAAAATTAAACTAATGTATTTTTTTTCTTAAAATTTGGAAAAATCTTGAAACAATTTTCATATTTGCTTACGGCGTGTAACTATGGAGAGCTGTTGCTGCAGCGGCTGCAGTTAGTGGAGATGGGTGGCGTGTAAAGGCGGTTGCGAAAGCTCCTCGGGCACGTCCTCTCTGAATAGCAACCCCTCTTAAAGCAGCCACTAAGATAAATATAAAATATTAATTCATAATTTGGTGGATAAAAAGAACTTTATAAACTTAAATGCAAAAAGAAAAATAACGTTATAAACTTAAATAATAATAACCCTAAATATACTTTCAGTAGTTCAAAAATAAATTTTATATCTTTAAAAATATCAAGAAAAAACTTGTGTTATTGTATTTTAGTAATTGAAAAATTCAACTCTTGTATTTATTGCGTCTGAAGAAATTCAAGTAAAATTTTAGTTATTGTAAAACTATGTATTTTCTGTTTACCTGAATTAGTTTTAATTTTTAAACTTCAACAAAATCGACAAATACATTATTTTATACAACTAAAATTACAAATTCTTACATGACTTTTCAATGGCATATTTTAACTTATAGTTAATATAATGGTAACATATTTACTAAAAAAGTTTCTCTTTAGAAGTCAGAATTTTAACTATTTAATAAAAGTCTTATAAGCAATATTAACATTCCAACGTGCATAAAAAACTGTGTAAACAAATGGAAATAAATTTGTTTACTAAGATTCTAAGTTCGTCTATATTAAAAAAATATTTTCAGAAAAATCCATTTAGCAGCTTTAAATGACACTTAGACAAGTCAAGCTCTCCAGCCATTTTCCTTGCGACAAGAGAGCACCGCTAGGGGGGAAGTGCGATTTAGCTCAGAGCCACCCGGATAGATGGCAGCATTGCACACTCAAGAGGCCAGCCACCTCCACAGTTTAGACATGGAACAGAAGAGGAAGAAACTTTCCCACAGACGCCTGTATACTTGCTAATGCTGAGTGATCGACCACAAGACTTTCGATTCCTCAGAATTTACGATGTATCTTGGTGGGTCTTAGTGGCTTCGAAGATTGAACCCTCGTCCTTTCTTACATAAGTCCGATGTCAGCAACACTCGGCTACTCGGGCGTTATGCCATCTAGAGTTACCGATACCATCCATATATTAATAAATAAAATGCGTAAAATGTGCAAAGGCATTTGATTTTTTTAAAAATCATATTTATCGCGTCAGCAAGATGCGATTATTTCTTATTTTCATTGTAATACGCTCTCTTAAATGAACAAATATTAAATTCAGTCTATATTTGTTAAGATAGCAGAAAATAATGTTTTATAAAATATGTGTATACATGGGAAAGAAATTCCAGAACAGAAGGGTTGTTATGTAAAGGATAAAATTTGTAAACTAATTTGATACTTACTTTCATCAATTGTCGTTTTCGTCTTACCGTTGGGTATTGTCGGTAATTTTTTGGTCTGTATTCTCGCAGTCGCATTGTTAACCTAAGAAATAAGTGTTAGATATAATTACTTTAAAAAATTTAAAATTTTGCACACTTTAACATTTCTTTAAAATATAAAACAACTTATTATTTATTCTGAAATAAACACTTATTAACTATTGTTTTCATTTTAAAGTATTAAAAGTTTTATTTTGTGAAAATTCCATGCTTCTTCTAATTAGGAAATATGATTTAATTACACCGAATTGTAATGTAAAATTAGGTGCCAAAACTACATTCCTACTTAACGTAAACAGTTTTCGCTTACTAATACGAATTGTAATTTTCAATGTAAAACATTTTTAATTAATATCGTTTTAAATATTTAATACTTTATCCGTAATTAGTAAATAGCTATAAAAATTTTCATTCTTAATTTTCTTCAAAGGCAGTCTTATCTCGGTATTCTCATTTAAATCAAATTTTCACTTCAGAGATTATAAATTTATAAATCACCATATTTAAATTGTGTTTTTCGATTATTTTTGATCAATTTTTAAAAATAGTTTTCCTGTTTTATCGCTTAAATTTGTTTTTGAAGAAAAGCTCTTTTAGCAATAAAGTTAATTCAGGTATATTTTTCAAAAATTAAAATTGCATTTTATGTGGAACTACAATTTTAGATTAAAAAATTAAATAAATGAGATGTTTTAAAACTAATTCATGAAAGGTAAATAATAATTTTAAAGAAGTTTTCAAAATGTTATTTAAAATTAAGAGAAATGGTCATGTTCCAGGAGTAATAATGCCAAAATGTATTCTCGGTTGGCTCACTCATCTTTTTCTTCTCAGATAAATACCTCTCTCTTTATTACGTGAAACTTCTTCTATTGACACATTTACAGAGTATGCGGGTAGATAATCAACTCGTATCTGCTTTGATCAGACAATCAGAAATAATCAGAATAATCAGAAATAATCGTAATAATCAGAAACTAGTATTTTTTCTATCAAATTTAAGCGTTCTCTAATATTTTTGATATGATTAATAAATGATTAGGAGTTATTTTTAATTTCTAGAGAGTTGAATTGTATTTAAGTTAAGATAAAGTAGAATTGTCACATTGAAGATTATGGAGCAGGCAGTAAAGATAACTTATACACTTAATGCATATTAAGTATCTTTGACACAGAATAGTACACGTTTGGAATTTTCATTGCTCAGCGAAAATAATTGTCATTGCTGATGACAATTATTTCGCTGCCAAGTCATGTCAAACTTTTCACATGATCAGTCAGATATGTCTGCCAGGGAGTTTTTGATTATTGCAATCTGAAACTCTTTTATAGTAAATTAATTCGAATTTAGTCATAGAGGTCATGCTGTAATATATATAAAATAGTATTTTCGCATAGAAGATCACTAAAAGATAGAAAATTGTATTTACGTCGATAATATTCATTCAACTTCTGAAATATATAATAATGTTCAGAATATTACACGGATAAATGCTTACTCCAAATTTTGCCGTGATCTTTCAAACGAGTAGTGTAAATGAGTCTTACAATCTGAACCAGTAATGTAAATGAGTCTTACAATCTGAACCAGTAGTGTAAATGAGTTTTACAATCTGAACGAGACACGTAAATGAGTTTCACGATCTGAACAAGTAATGTAAATGAGTTTCAGGATCTGAACAAGTAATGTAAATGAGTCTTACACTCTGAACGAGTAATATAATGAGTCTTACAATCCGAACGAGAAATGTAAAGAAGTTTCACGATCTGAACAAGCAATGTAAATGAGTCTTACAATCTGAACGGAACGAGTAATGTCAGTGAGTCTTACAATCTGAACGAGTAATGCCAATGAGTTTCAGGATCTAAAAAAGCAATGTAAATGTGTCTTTTGATCTGAACAAGCAAAGTATATAAGTCTTACGATCAGAACGAGTAATGTAAACGAGTTTTACAATCTAAACGAGCAATGTAAATGAGTTTCACGATCTGAATAAGCAATGTAAATGAGTCTTACTATCTGAAGGAGTAATGTAAATGAGTCTTACAATTTAAACGAGTCTAATGATCTGAATGAGTAATGTAAGTGATAAATACGGCCTGAAATATCATCAATGTGAGATAAATCTGAAAACTAACAGGCTACAAAAGAAGTAGAGATTGTCATCTACTATTGAAGATGTGCACTTACATTTAGAAGATGAATAGTGATAGCAAAATTCTATTATTTAGTTAAAAATAAAAGTAAATTCATATTTTAGCTGCTATATTTAGTACGATCATTGGGAATGCAGCTTATTTTACATTAATGAAAATTTGTATAAAATTTAAAATAATATTACTTTGCGTTCAAGGAATGTTTATGATTAAAAAATGGCCAGGTCAAAAGAATGGCAGAAAAGAAAAAAGCAAATATTTATTGAAGAACACGAAAAGCTTTCTAGAATAGTGATCTTGATATCTACAAGCTCAGAAAAAATCAGTTCAATGTTCAATCATTATAATCGATACTTTGAATCACAATGTGTGTATCTTACAGCAACCTGAATAAAGTGTTAATTATAATATGGCTCAATTCCACGTAGTATAACGTGGTAGTATTACATTACGGGGTATATTACGCAGTATTACATTAGTAGTTGAAAAATAGTGTTATATTGATGAAATTCAGAAATACGCGATAATAGGATTCAGCTTAGTATCATATTAAAGTTAAGGAACATTTAAACCACATCACGGTTTAACATGATTCAAAGTTTCCAACTATGTAAATAATCATAACTAAATTATTAGTTTCTTTTAGGCTGTAAGTTATAAATTACTATTCAAAGCTATTGCTTTAAAATTTCAGGTTTGAAAAAATTGTTTTTACATTTAATTATTCTTCTTTAAAAATCATGAATAAGTTAGGCCAACATCAACGTAATTAAATGTTCAATTATCTTATAGTTCGTTGTAGAGCTTATACAGTTTAGTAGTTAAAATTTATAGGTATGGCATTTATTTTAAATACTAGAATAGCTTTTAGTTTATTTCATTTTCATTTAAATGTATATAGAAAATTAATGTTAGTTATTTTTATCTGCACTGCTTAACTACAAATATTTGCGCATATTTTTTTAATTTTTAATGTTAATTTAATTCTAGAAAAAAAGAAATTAACAAAATATTTTAAGGAAAAGGTATTAATATTTAGAAATTATAAGCCTTTTTAACAGTGTCTGATAGACGCCTAATACTTTTAACTTTATTTTTCTTACACATTTAATTGAAAAAATTAAAGTTAGAATAATACAAGATGATAAATTTCAGATAGATAATATATTTATAGGACCTTTTCATTTAAAGCATTTACTGGACCAAAAACTTCCGAGTGTTTTGAATTAGAATTGAGTAATCCAGTCGGCTTCTTTTAACAGCTTGTTGCGTTTTATTTTTTTAAAAAGTTCCTTTTTTGTTACGGAACAGTGGGCACTGTAATTTATGCATCAGATAACTTAAAAACATCGTGCAGTTTTTTGACCGACTTTTCTTCCTTGCTTGAATTATTTAAAATACTTTTTTATACTGTTATTAAGAATTTCTTTTTCAGTTAAAAAGAAGTAGCAATCTTGTATCTAAAAAATTACTTTATTCTTTTCTCTGATTAAAAAAGTTGTTAAATGCTTACATATATATAATTTTTTTTGCATTCATTTTAAAATGGCTTTTCTCTTTTTTCTATTATACCTGCTGGTTAAATTTTAAATTATTAACACGATAGTTTTAGTTAAAAGTTACTGATTAAATAGTGTTATTTTATTTCTGTCAATGAGAAACCAGCCACCTAACCAGTGTGGTGGGTGTAGTCAACGCCTACCACGGCTTAGGTCGGAATTCGATTTTCCGTATAAAGGCTGGGTATCTGATTCGATTGCACTGTCTCCGATCATGTTTTACTGGTTCGAAATTCACTCTAGTGTAATATAGTATAGTTTAATCTAATATTCTAATGCAGTCTAATTTTAGATCCTAAGTTCACACTCACTTGGGTAATACTCACGTGGTGCAGAAGTTGGGGGAGTACTTCTACCAACTAACCTTCGATTTAAATTGTGGTTGTGTAGTGCATGTTTGAGCGCCATCTTTTAATTTTTTAATCCGCATTAGGAATGAATCTCAGATCATTTCAAATAGCACATTAGTAGGAAGTGCATATTTGTAGCCAATGTACAACAAATTTAAGTGTTTGATTTTGTATCTGCAACTTTAAAATTTTGAACCAACTTAGGTAAATAAAATGTTACCCTTGTGGTGACTTTTTAAATAAAATGAACGTCTATTCAAGTTAAGTAGAGAAGAAATATTATTAAGAAAATTTCCCGAAATTGGTCTAAATGCAAAAAAAGAAAAGAAAATAATTTTTTTTTGATTTCTCCATAGCTGGGGATATTTTATGCAATCTTAGAAATGACATTATTAAAATACGTTTAAATTTCTTTATAAATATTTGTTTTAGTAATGAACTCAACATCAGAAAAACATTAAAGTTTCATTATGTCTTTGAGAAAAACCTTTATTTTATTTTTATGAGTAATTTTAAAATTGAACACGTAATTGTGAGCAAATTTTGATTTTGATGCGTATTGAAACATAAAATTGTTTCAATTTTATACACCGGTTTTGTATGAGATTCAAGCTTAACCGATATATTATGAAAATTAATCTCTCTTAAACTTGAATACATGACGTAACTGATGATTAGCTTGAATTTGAATAAGATTCAATTTGATACTTTTTTTTTATTGTAGAGCAAATTTTGATTAAAAATATCAAGATTATGGTTCAGTCTTCAACAAATTTTTTTCTGAAAGTGAAGTAAGACGTTCGCTTACAACTTTTCTCCATAGTATTTATTTTCAGTTCTTTTTCTGTGTACCTATTCAAGAGGACACTTAATGATACATATTAATATATCAGAAGTTTAAATATGTTGATCCTGGATTACATATCTTGATATTTTAAGGTACATGTATGTAATTGTTTTTTTTATTTAATATCTTTATTGGATATTTTATTATAATAGCAACAATGACAATTTGAAATACACTTTAATAAATATGCTTTAAAGCATTTAGAAAAAATATGCCATAACTTTCCAAAGTGAATTCTTAAGGTAATATTTATTGGTAATTGTATTTTTAGCTGTTTTTTTCTAATGAAATGGTAAGTTAGCTTTCAATTTTTTAGTGTTCAAATAAGCTTATACATACTTTTTAAAGTATAACAATATTCGTATTTTAAAAATTCAAACATTTTAGTATCATAGACTGCAAGTGACTTTAGAACTTTTCAGTTAAAGATATTTTAGCTGTCGAAATTCTTACCTGTTATTACTTCAAGACAGCAACAATGTAATATCAGTTGGTCTGAGTGGCGGAAAAAGAACACCATTGGAAAAATATTTTGGCACTTCGTCAGCTGTACAACACAACTATATACTACACTGCAGATGACAGTGAGAAATGATTCTAATAAAAGCAATTTTAAAGCAGAAAGCAGAAATACGTTTGCAATGTGAGATATTGATAAAAAATTTCTTTTTATTTCATTTGCTTTAAATTAAATTACTGAATTTTTTTAGGACGCTTTGTATATAGAGAGAATTCAAAAGTTTTAGAATATACTTTCGACACTAAAGTTAAAAACATGATAATCATTTTGCAAATTAAGAATGAAAAATATCAAACGAATTTATAATTTATCTAACAGTTTTTTAATTCATTTAAAAAAATTCATTGCAGAATTTTCATTGGTTTTAAATTTTGTGTTTTTTATTCGTGTTTATATTAGATCATTTCACACAGTTTTTCTACTAAATACATAATTTCTTAAACAAATATCAGCATAAGAAATGTCAATCCTATTAGCATGACAACGTGCTATTTAGTCAATTCTAGAGCAAATTCAGGCAGTGAAATTTGCCATAAACAGCAAACTAGCTACCAATTCATTCATTTAACTAAAAGCAAGACAGTGTATTTAATGCCAATAGTCATAGATATAATATTAGTTTTAGATATACAAACAAGCTATCATCCAAACACAATGCAACTTATGCATTAGTTAAGAATATTTTTAAAATAACAAAAAGCAAAATGCAAAGCTCTCTGACAGCATTAGAAAGTTGTTTTAAAATTTAAGAGGTTTCTTTGCTAGAGTATTAAATATGCATAGACTAGACAAATTTGCGCAAATTTGTTGCAGCAAATCTCAAATATTTAATAATATAATATTTTTTTTAAATTTACAAGTTGAATTTTTAATTTGAAGTATACAGCCGCACATAAATTAATAATGCAAAGAAAGCATGCTGTAGAAAGTATTTGATTAAATCTATACAATTAACTACGAAGACTATAGAAATTGGGTTGAATGTAGAATTGAGAATATTTAAATTGAAATCTGGCACTTATTCCTTTAAACATTCATCTCATTGATATTGTATTACGTTTTTATAATGTTTCATATTTTAAGATACTCATCTTATTTTGTGTTTTGGCTTATGAAAAATAAAGCAATTTCCATCAAATCAATATAAATTTTTTTATATTATCCCTGCATGGCTCGTAAACAACTTTCAAAAGTAAAGTAAAGTATGCATTAAATAGATAGACTACTGAGAAAGAGACAAATATCGTTCTCTATTCTGAGAATAGTCATTTAATATTAAACTACTATTTTTTGAATTATGATTTTGACAAATTAGGCGTTATTATTATCAATACAAGTTTAAATATCCACTAAAATGCTGAAAAGCAGAATCTTTTACCATATATGGCGGAAAATACTATTTCTGATTAAATTAGCAAACGTAATGCCATCTAGCGGCAGTTATAGGAAGAAATAGGGCAGTATTCATTTAGTTTAAGAATTCATTAAATCCTATTTCGTTTAATATAATATAATATTTAATATAATATTAATATCAATTTAATGAGATGTATGTATCTTTCTGAGAATCTATGCTAGATGTTAAACGTTTGTCCCTTTGTTACTCTAAACAAATTTAGATAACGTTAGTGAAACCAGCTTCAGGTTTATTCAATTATTCATGCATGATATTGTGAACATCGTAACAGCTATGTTAAATCTCTTTGCTTGATTGAGATTGATTACTAAGATCAGCACGAATTTCGGAAATTAAGCAAGGCTGTGCAGCACAAGTAAAGACAATGTGGATCAATTACATCTATTTTTAATAGGAATGTGTGCTTTAGCTGGAAGCTTTGTGCAAGCTGAGTAGCACTTCTTATGCATTAAACCCTACCATAATAGCGCCTAAAATGTCGTTAGTGAACTATTTACTGAACTCGAAGTTATTATGATGTTAATGAGGTTTTCTTACTACAGGTGGACAAAATTGATTATTGGGCAATACGTAAACCATGTTCTGAATAAAAAAGGTTCTACCCATTGATAACGTCTAAAATATTATTCATGAACCATTTAATGGACTCAACATTCATTCTTAATAATTTTTTTAATAAAGCCTTCTGACCACAAAAGAAAGGAAAAACGATTTGTTGTATAGTTATGGATAATATTATACCTCATATATATTATATAGTTGACATGACAAATAACAATATTATATTTCATATCAGCGAGCAAATCTATTAAAAATGATATCAAATTAATCTACTTTATACAATTTATATCTAATGCTAAAAGAAAATGTATGACATAATAAATTACCATGAACATCAATAATTTTGGCTGAAAAATTCAAAATGTTGCTGCAATATTTAAAATATGACAACATATATAAAAATCTAGGTTTCCATAATCTACACGAGATTAGTTGAATCAGCACACTATTCAACTTCTAATTCAAATTCATAAAAAAATAGACTAAAAAATCTAATCCCATGAATATTCATGGTTTTAGTCATAGTTTTGTTTTCGTGTCAAATTAAAACATACATACCATCATTGCTTATGCAAAAACTAAAGTATTAGCAATAAATTGAATAAAAATTAGCAACAGCATAAAACATTTTGCTTTTTGTGCTTCAAATTACATGGATAGACATTTCTTTGCCAATGAATCTAAGCAGCTACTATTCAAAGCACGTACATACATCATTGAAATTTAAAAGTGCCATTATCACATGTACAAAAGAATTTTAGAAATAAGAAATGGAACATGCACCTCAATCTTTCGTCCCTCTACCACCGTGCCGTTCAAGTGGTCACGTGCTCTATCAGCATCGAGGCTATTTGCGAATGTTACGAAACCGAAACCCTGCATGCATAAGACAAGAAACAAGAAACATGCATTAAAATCCGTGCATACTGCGTAATGTAATATAAAACCTTCTAAAAATGTATAAATTATTCAAAAAATTATACTTCATCTATTTTTTTTATAACAAGTAAAGTATTTCTTTCACTTCTTATTATTTAATATCATTCATACAACTTTGCAAAATGTTCATGCAATATTGTCTAATGTCTGAATACCAGAGTGCTTAGATCATCAGTTGCAGCAAAAAGACGTTAAAAAATAATTCATATCATATAATCTGAAATTAACTGACCTTTAATTGTAAAAATTTTGAGGGAATTTTTTTTTCCTAATTTTTCTTCAATTTGAAATATATTTATAGCTGTATTAAAATTATTTAAAAGACTTAAATAAGCATGTTAATATTTGCCCACTGACTGTTCTGCACTTAAAAAGTTTAAATTTAATCCACAGTCTTCTTCACATAGCAAAACCATTTTTTACATTTTATTGAGATAAGGAAATAGTGTATTGGAGAGAAACATTCTCCTAATTTTGCCAATTTTCTAAACCATCAGTAGGTTAAAGATGAAAGGTAATTAATATGGCAATATGCCAAGAAAGTTAAAAAAATAATCCCAAGGAACTGTCATTATAACTCAAAAACAATATCGATATATTTGTTAAACCTTAAAATTTCTTAAACCATATATAAATCATAGTATTGATTATAACCAGCTTTATTAAATTGTGCCCATTTGGAATCATTGCCAACTTTTGTTCAAAATGATAATTAAAATCACGTAATTCAATATTTAGTCTATTTCCACGAAATAAATAACAGGTTTCATATGAAGGAAATCAGTGGTAAATCTTTTCATATTGTGCAAGAATATCATTTCAGGAATACATTAAAATATATTATTTTAGTTTCTGTATAGATAAAATGTTTTCTAACAAAAACTGTTTCATTTTGTGTACGGATATACCGTAAGCCCATCCTTATAAGATGGAACAAATTTTCTTATAATTTGAAATATTATCATTGAAGTATTGAATTTATTGTTTTTTAAGATGTTTCTGCAAAAACTTTGAATTTTTTTGCCGATAAGAATAAAACTCCAGTCGAAATGAAATACTTTCGAAACTGTTGTTTTTTGAAAATATTATTGCTGATTATTGAAATATTTGTTTAACTATTTATGTACCAGTTTTATCTGTTTACCTTTGATGTGACGTATTAAAAAATATCTCCTCTTTTACGTTTTAGGTTACTATCTTAAGCTTTGTCTTAAGTTAAACATTGACATTAATATTGCTTAAAAAAATTAAGATCCATGTGTGCATGAAATAGTTGAAATGTGAAATCAGTAAGCACATACAACGAACTTTTAATGTCCTATTGCTGCAACTGAAACAGAAGATAACAAAACAAAATAAGAAAGAAAAAAATCAGAGAAAAGTGAGTGCCAAACTGAATTTATCTATATTCTAATTAAAAAGAAAGCATGATTTTATTGTTTCAAAAGTGTATTTGAAATATTTATTTAGTTATATTAGTAAACAGGGCAATTGAAATTTTACATCATATTTTTGCTCAAGAAAACAAATAATTTTATTAAGTTTGCAAGTATAGTTTTAAAAATTACTATGTAAATAGCGAAATTAATTATTATGATTTAAATATTATACATTATATTTATCATTTGAATACATTTTAAAAAATTGAGGAATTATTTTTTATAGTAAATCGTTGAATATAATTTCTCGAAAAAGTTTCTCTCTTTGAACAAAACATAAATAAATTCCGAAAACCTTTATTATTTAAAAATAAAAGGAAAGTAATATTTTAAATTTAAATATTTCATAGTTAGTTTTGAAGCACCCAAAATAAAATGGTTTGGGGAAGGTATAAACTTAAATTTTGGAGAAGACAGTTCCTATTTCAAAATAAATATATAACAAATAATGCTGCCAGTTAAAATAAGCAATTTGTTGGTTTTATTTACTAAATTATGCTAAAAATTATACATTTCACTTATTAAATTTTGCTATAAGTTAAGAATTGTTACTGTATTTAGAAAAAAATAAACATGGATTAAAGAGATTTTTCCACACAGTTTGTACTTCATGAGCAAATTTTCCTTATAAAAAAAACTAAGTAGTTTTAAAATGTAGGTCATCAAAGTAATGTAATTATTCGTTATTTAAAAAAAAAATACAAAATTAATTTTTTTAACTTATTTGTATTTAAGTAATATTGTAATAATTTTAGTTCATTTTTATGAAACTCATAAGCAAAAAAGTAAAGTAATAAATTGAAAGCTTTATATGAAATTATATGAAAAAAAGTATATTATTTTAAAGTTACTAACCAGCAATAGAGTTAACACATAATGTATAAATGGTGGAAAACTATAATAATAATAGAATATAATACTTAACTTATGTGCATTTAGGAGCAATAAAATAGCAGAGGCATTGATTTAGAAATATCTTCGATTAAAATGAGCTATATTAATATAAAATTAGATAACGTGTTCTTTTCAAGTTATATAAACAAATATCATGTTACTTTACTAGCTAACGTACATTATGCTTCGAAATTTAGATTTCATCCCACTTTAATTTAGAATTAGGAAAAATAAAAATAATGATCTTTTCTGAACAAATCCATTACATGAGTATTATTTAAAAATGTGACGAATTAGTTAAACATTTTTGATTTGTGTCTTTGTAAGAATACATAAATTTGGAAGTAAATAAAGTTATTTATTCAAAATAAATTTCTCAAAATAATTTTAGGGTTTAGAATTTGCTCATAATTGAAAATTAAGAAATTTTAACATTTTCAAGCTTAAAACTGGTAAAAAATATAATTGGAAAGCAATAGAATAATTTTAGATCATCAAAAATGGTCAACTTTGTATGATCTGTAGTACAACATTCTAAGAATTGGTAAACCTTAACTGAAACAATTCTCAAAATTTCTGTTTATGTTTTCTCTGTAGACTTTATACATGTTATCAATGGGTTTTAATTTTAAAATTTTCCTACGATATTTTAATTACGATTAAAACAAATTTTTAGTTAAATTATTAAATAAATTTCGAAATTTAATATAAAAATTCAATTTTTCCTTATTTAAAAAAATAACACGAATACAATAGACATAATAGATTATTCAAACGAACTAGTGCTGGAAAGTTGATCCAGTAATTTCCAAGTAAAAATAACTTAATTGAATTTAAGTTTCATATTTTAAAATGATAATTGAAACAAACCATCCTCAAAAAGGTTATTGGCGAAACATTCTCTTGTCATATTTTCTTGTTAAAGTGCTTAAATAAAATAATGGAATTCAAACTACACTTAGTTTCTATTAAATACGAATTATCGATAAATTTATTAAAATAGAAAAAATCTCTGCAGTCTGAAGGACTAATTCCAAAATATAAAGATCATGATAAACTTTTTATTCACATTTATTAGAACTGACAATATAAAAAATTACATTTCGAAATAATAATATTTTTAAACTTTTGGGATTAAGTTGAATATAACATAGCAATAAATAAATAAACTTTCCAGGATTTTCATAAAGCAGTTTAGTTTCCGTGACTAAAATACCTAGCCAATCTTTGAATCCCACGAGAGTAACTTCATTGTTTACTCCATAGTTTAACTAAAAAATACAGTTGACTTATGTAAAGATTTAGCAAATATTTGTATAAGTATGCGGTACACTATTTAGTGCGTGAATAAATTTACGATTTTGTGACTTGTAGCTATTAATTTGTAACTGGCAGCATCTTAAAAAATAAAAATAATGTAATAAATAATAAATGAAACAGGTTTTGTATTTTAGAGGAGAAAGGTAACATGCAAGCATGCACTGTAAAAATTTTGTGGAGTGAAATTAAAATAAAAGAAAAAGTGTTCAAACAAGAACAGGCATTCAGTAACTACTAGTAGTGCTCAGCTACTCAGACATAAGCATTCATAATAAAATTTCAGTTCCTTACTTTAAAATACAATAAAAAGTTAACCGAAACAACTTTTTGTATCTTTTAAGTGAGAATAAATACAAACAAAATACTTATTTTTTCTACTTTGGTAATATGCGTTCACAAATTATAAAGCAAATTTCTAGATATTTTAATAAATTTTAAGATATTTTAATAGATTTGCATAAATTGAAACCACTCAAAAAAGGAATATGTAGATCATGTGCTTTGTAGCTCAGTTTCATGAAAGTATCAAGAAAAATAGAGCTTATTTTCAATTAGAAGGATTAATAAGTTCATTCATCAATCACAGGGATTCATCAATCACTATACTATAAGTGTCTATGGAAAGAACTCCCCCCCATCACTCATCTGTGGTGATTATGGTTCTGATGTTTAATTATTAAAGGAAAGTGTATTCAGTTTGGTTATTATTAAAAACAGGATTTGACTCGGGATGATAAGAGAAAGGGAATCAAGGGAGAGAGAAGCTCCTCTCTTAGGATCGCGTGCTTCAATAGCAGAAGACGACCTTTGACATTGTGGAGTTCTTTTTATAGACAAACTATAATTAGGTACAATAAGAAAAAAGCACAACAACTTCAACTAATCCCAGAAAAATGCTGATTCTATACTCATAAACCGGTTAGTTCTCCAAAAAAACGGGTTTTTACTGTGAATAAGGTCCTGAAAAATTGAGATAGTTCATCGTCGTAAGCCTAGTGGATGACGGATTGGTGTTCTTTTAATTGTCTGAATTTAACTATAAGTTTAGGCCAGTTGTTAAATCTGCCGAAACTAAACAAAAATGTCTTTATTTTTTATTTATTTATTTTCGTATTTAAGTTCAGATTTATTAGTTTAACTTATTTGTCATCTTAAACTATAGGATTTCAGTCAGGTTTCAAAAGTCATATTTTCTGCCACGTCAATTAAAAATTTATAGTGACTTTTATTGTTTTCTCCAGGAAGATTCTAAATGCATTCAACATCGAGTATTATACACCAGTTTAAATTAGCAGTTAATATGTTAACTTGGCTATTTAGTACATTTAGTGCATGCAAAATGAAATATTCCTTAATTTTTATTACTATGATAAACATATATTGCGTCTTTATTTTTACTTTTTTTGAAATTGAATCAAAATATTAGATCATAGTTTGTTGAGTAGTTCACTGATAGGTAACAGTCTAACTGTTTCATACATTAAAAAAAAGAACAAACGAATTTTTTTGCATATTGGTTTTAAATGCGTGATTTATAATTAAATTATAATATAATAAAATTTTAATTACCTTAATTAAAAATTTTAAGCGATAATAAATTTTAATAGATTTTTTCATTTTTTTAAATCATTCATATTTTTTCATATATTTGAAGAAGAGGAAAAAAACCTCAACATTTTGAATCTAAAAAGGGATACATTAAAATACTTTAATATTTTTTCAGCTTAATAATAACGCTATAATTTATCACAAACATAGCATTTGTTTTAAAAAACACAGCAAGTTTTAATACTGTTTTTTGAAAGTTTGTAAGAAGCCTAAAAATAAAGTATCTTAGACACATTTTAGTTTTTTTTGCATCGAATAAAATTGAATGCAAATGCATTTATTTTATTAGAATGTTAAATTCAATGTCGAGGTTAAATAAAAAATGTGATTAAACGTGAATACATATTAACCATGCTTTGTAAATATGTTTAGTTGTTTCGGTTTACTTTTCAAAAATAAGTATGAAAAATTCTTGTAATAGGAGATAAAGTATTAAGAGACTGTAAACTCATTCAGAAGTTATTTTTTCAAGTTGCCTATAACCTAGATTTTTATAATGCATAACATTTTCGTATTACACAGTGTAATAATTATAAATACATTTAATGCACTACGTACACGCATGCATTGCATATACGTATAAATGCATTGCGTACAAATGCATGCTAAATTCATACCGTATGCGTAACGTAAGTATAAATTTACCGAGTAAGAATATGAATAATATGTTTCATTAAGGATGTTTTTATTATATTTATTTAATAATTATTAATTTTTTACGAAAATTGTGAAGACATTGATTTGTAAGTTCGTAAAAAAGGAAACTGAAATTATTATTTTTGTACATAGATCAACTAAAGAAACTAGCTTTCACGAAATCTGCTTAGATGAATTATTTCTTCAAATATTAGAAGTAGGGAGACTTGCGTAGAGTTAGATTAACCGTAAGTTTGTTATTGTTTATGATTTCGACTGATTTAGGACGTCCATAAACTTCCTGCTGCAACAGATGTTTGGACTTAGTGAGAAAGACATTAAGCTTATTATTTTGAAACCATAACAAAAGTTTTCCGTTTTAAGTTTGGCTGCGTTTAGTACCATTAATATGAAACATTCTTTACTGAAAAGAGTATAAATAACGTTTCATTTAGCATTTATTAATGACTTAAAAATGCTGATACTTTTATTTCAGATTTATAATTTATTTATCACTTAAACACGTGTTTATGGCATGCATATATATACATGAATGTAATGTTAAAACAATTATGTATTAAATATAATCCTTAAATAGAGCATTTATCCAACGCGCAAACGTTTAAAAACCTTTCCCACAAGAAAGTAATAATATTAATCTAATTATCTAAAAAAATGTGATGATGTGGCTTTAGCAGCTTGGGAAATTGATCAGTCCCACGCTACTGAGACCTATTAACATTTAAATATATTGTCCAGAAAGATATAAAAACCCTCTTTCCAAGGTCAAATGTGCTATTCTCTACCTATCCACCAGCATGTAAGGTTGTCATTCTGGGGCTCTGGCCCTTACTTTAATAAAATTATATTATGATTCCTGTATTTTCCTGTATCTTTTTCAAGAAGCACCGGCCACACTACGAACTTACAATGTTTAGGCTTCAAAGCGTAACATGTATATACATGGTTTATTCCTTATTTAGTATTTAGGTCACTGACTTTAACTCCAACCATTACCTATTTGAAAGTTTTAACAATTTAATTTAAATTATTTAATTGCTTTTAATTTTTTTTAAATTAATTTTTTTTCCTATTAAGGGTTTTGTAACTTAAATTTTCCATGTTACAAATTGCGCACATTACATGTATTTTTTTAACCAAATGATTATCACTTTAAAGCAGTCTCTTAATATCATTGACTCTTATTACCTCATTTTTCGTACATAATACAATAATTTAATAAAAAACAGCTCTACAATAAGCAACAAATATTATTTAATGATTAATAAATATTATATATCTAAAAGGTCATATGAGGTGTTGTATACAAACTTTGCCATTCCCGAAAAAGTGTTCGAAGTAAGAAAAGGGTATATTAAAAAGTATTTTCCCAAGGTATTACCTTATCAATTTTGAAACAGCTTTTCATTCTTTATGAATTTCTTTTATTTCAAGTATGGGATTCTTCAAATTCCTATCTGAATTCCTGTAAACTAGATTTTTTTTTAACGTTAGATTTTTTAAAATTAAATTTTCGGACAGTTTTAAAATTTATATATAAAAAAAAAATAAGCATCACCGTTCATGACTATTCAGTATTGATTGCAAATCTGATTGAAAGGGGTAAGTTCGATCAATTCTTTTCAATGATTGATTGTATTTTAGAGAATTTGTAAATGAATTGTAATTATATCAGATATTAACATTAATATTTCCCCACTTTTTTGTAGGTCGAAATATTCTTTCCTGGAATGCTCTCCGCTTCTCAAGTATGATTTCTCAGAGATTGTTCTTATTGTGAAATTATCAAACACATTTACATTCATAAATGTTGAAGTGTTTTTTTTTTCTTTCTTAGCAATGCTCCTGTACAATTGCGAAAATGGTACAAAATAAAAATAAGAAAAAAAATTGAAAAAAAAAAGGAAAAAAAATTGTATTTGAAAAGCTATTCTCGATACTGAATAGCAGAGGATAATTTTTCATGTAACGCTAATGCGTCATAAATTTCGAATTTTTTTTTACTTTTTAAAGTTATTTGCACATAAAGATCATGAACTATTCTTAAATTAGTTTATTATTTACTTAATTTTTCGTAGATTGGGTACCAATTCATAAGCAACACCTCCTATGAAATGCATAATAGTACAATTTTATAACCACTTTTTTGTAAGAAATAAAGTTTATAAAAACTAAAATAATAATAAAAAAATTAAAATATATACAATTCTTAATATGCACATTTTTCAAAATTAACAAGTTCTTAATTTTTATTTTAATGCTTTATATTTTAATGATAAATATAATATATAAAATATTTAGTGCATATAATAAAGCAATGTATATAATATGTATTTTGCTTTATGAGGAAATATATTTCAATGAAAAATAATATTCAAAATTTTAAAGAATAGAATTTTAAAGAATTTTAAAGAAAGAATTTCATTTCTATTTCAAATTTTAAGTTATTTTAAAGCATCTTAATTCTGAAATTTACTATTAAAAAAAAAAAAAAACTTTTGAAATATTTCACGTAAGCTAAAATGATTATATGATTGTAGTAAAAAGCTAATAAAGAAAAGCTAAATAATAATAATAAAGCCGAGCAAAAATGAAAATAGTAATGTAGAACTAGAAAGATGGATAATAATTTTATTTAAAAACAATATTACTGAAATGACAATAGAAAATAAATTAACCACATTTTTTTTTATAACGAAAATAAATTTTAATCTTATGATCAAACTAGCTTACATATTTTATGTGAGTTGAAAATATATAAGTTAAAATAAGTAAATGAATATAGATTAGGTTAACACATAGCAATAATTTCAAAATTCTATAGATATTGAGTATTATTTCTTAACAACAAAATTACTAAAATGTTATTTTTTTATTTAATTTAAGAAGAAAGATAATTTAAAAAAAATAAATTGAAATATTTTAGAAAACTTCTACATTAAATATGAACAAAACATTACATACCTTCGAGCCTCTTTCATTAAAGATAATTTCTACATCTAAAATAGGACCATATTGCTGAAAATATATTTAATAACTTAATTATCAAAGTAGGTTAAGCATTTGAGTTTTTTTTTGTTTTTAAAATATGATAATAACCAATCTATATACTCAACACGGGACATTTTAAGTTAATTTTTTTAAAAAATCAATGCAAAGTGTCTAGCTTAATTTGAAAACGTAAAACAATTTATGCTAATTAATTAAGGTAACTAATATAACAGTTAAATTACACATTAATGTGCAAAAAGTGTAACAAAGGAAATTGTCACTCTATCAAATGTAAATAGAAAATCTTCTGATTTTTTCATTCATGTATAATATTAATATACAATGGCTGAAGATTCAAATTCCGTTAAACTTTAGCAATGCATAAAAAACTAAATTTTGACCCCTTTCTTTTAATTAAAAACTACGTTTTTTATACATTTTAAACACAGCAAAAAGTTGCAACAGTTTTGTAATTATTTCAACTAAGCAATCCCTAAAAATATTTCAAATTATTATTTGAAGCTTTTATGAAATTTTCAGGAAATTAGTAAGAAATTAAAAAGGTCGTTTGCAAAATATTGAATTAAAAATAAATTCCCTCTACTTTTTTTAAATTAAATTTTGACATTTCGCATATCACGTGAAAGATAATGTTTTGTTCCACAGGAATCTATGGTTTATTTTTACTCGACTCAATTTTGAAGACCTGAAAAATTTATTTTCAGATCTTAAAAAAAAAAAAAAAAAAAAAAAAAAAAAAAAAAAAAAAAAAAAAAAANAAAAAAAAAAAATCGAGAAAAATAAGAATTTTGTGCAACTCCTGCTTTTTTCTTTTAATCAAGGTTTTGAAACCCTTAAACGCTGCTCATGACATTTGTGCTGTGTATGAGAAGGGACCCTTTTTAAAATAACCCATGGCAATTAATATAGCAAGTTTAGAAAATGAAAGCTTGACCTCAAATATGCACTTGTTTCTAGCTATTTAAAGCTGCTTTTGCATGAAATGGAACAACACTTTAAACTTTCAAAACATTATAAAAAATGGTTGTAACTTAGTTGAGAAACTAATAAAAGAAGAAAAAATAGAAATAAACATTTTATAACTTTAAGAACTTAACTTTTGTCTAAATTAAGGCAAAATTGTAACATAATTATTAAGGTACGCTTCTAAGCTATTTCGTTTAAAAAACATTAATAAAGATATTAATAAAGCTTCAAATATACATTTCTTTTAGAGTTAAGACAAAAAAAATCTAAAATTTGATTGTTTTTTAGGATTTGCATACTCTTAAATGTAAACGATGCTTACAGGGATATTAACTCCTCTTTTATACAATTTATTTGTTAAAAAAGTTTTTTATTCTTTAACAGATAGTAATAAATACACAGTAATAAATAGATTAATACAAGATACCGTTAGCTGAAAGGAATATCATTTTCGAACAAATACAAAAATAAATACTTACTCCAAATAGCTGCCTAAGGTCTGGATCTCTAAACCTGAAAGGAATGTTGCTAACGTGCAAACGTTTTGGTTGATTAGCTTTGGAAGCATCTGTGGTTGCTGTTTGTGTTGAGGCCTGTCCACTAACAGAAACTATTACCTCAGGTTCTAAGTCTGTTTGCTGTAGAAAAATATATTATTTATAACAATAAACATCTCTCGTATTATTTATTCATATGTATAATAGGTAGTCATATAGTAAAATTGAATTAAATATTGTTAAGGGTACCTTACTATATTAGAGTAGGATCTCGATTATCCGAAGCACTTGGGACGAGACTTATTTTAAGTAATCGACATTTAGAGAAGATAAAGTAGCATAATAAATTTTTCTTGTCATTAGGCTTACTCTAATCAATATCAACTTCTAAAATTCTAATTTCCTGATGATTTTGGAAATATAAAGAACTTAGCGCCAAGCTGAAATACAGATAGATAATGCTATAGAAAGTGTATAGCGCTACGCTTTATTTACGAGTTCGTGAAGGATCTATAATAACTACTCGAATTATAGCTAGTATTATGATTGTTGTTAATTAGTTGTTTCAATTGACAGCATGGGTAAATATTTTGAATTACACACCTTTGGTCGATGAGAAATAGTAGTCACTCGAAGCTTTGGAAGCTTTCAAACTGCAAAGTCATCAATGAACTTTTCCAGGTCGACAGTTTT